ATCACTACATATACTATGATCTTATCAATATCACTACATATACTATGGTCTTATCACTACATATACTATGGTCTTATCACTACATATACTATGGTCATATCACTACATATACTATGGTCTTATCACTTCATATACTACGGTCTTATCACTGCATATACTATGGTCTTATCACTACATATACTATGATCTTATCACTACATATACTATGGTCTTATCACTACATATAATATGGTCTTATCTCTAAATATAATATGGTCTTATCACTACATATACTTTCATAATGGTCTTATCATATACACCCCAAACCCCTTTGTGTATTCACCGTAACCTCGCATATAATTTTGCTAAATTAAATCTTTATAACTAAATGCCCTCTTGCTTGCAGGTTCATTCCCATTTATCACAACAAACCATCGTGACTTCAATAATAGACTGTACTCATTTAACACTGCTGCTATTGAAAATGAAAGCATGAAGTCTGCACTGCCAAGTATTAAAAGGTAAGCGAATCACTCGTACACTGTGCTCATTTGCTAGCAGTGGACCTATACTAAGCTTATGCTAGCAATGATACAGTGCTATGATTTGACAAACTTTCATTAACAAAAGTATGCTTTTCTTTTAGCTTTTTGTATATTGTACTACCGGTAGTGCTATTTTTAGACTGAACAAGGGGGAAATGGGGACTTATAATATCACCTCTGTGTATGTGCACCTGTATCTCAGACATGTCTTGGTCGATTTTGTATTACAAAATGTATGTGTGTCGCACTAGTTTAAATAATTATAACATAAATATAAAGTAAAGGAAGGAACTGCACTAATAAAACTACCAGTAGTTTGTATCATTTGAAATTGTTTACTTTCACACATATGATGTATCATTATCATTATCAATGACTTGTTAAATTTATTTAAAAAACGAAATTGTCCAGTATTGTCTGTAACATCTATTTTTTCTTGTAGTAGTTGTGGTAGTGGAAAACAGTTACAGTTTGCAGATGGAAAGCCACAAAATAAGTATACATCAGAAGTACTGTTGTTAGACCTCAGAAGGCATGTTTACTCCGAGACACTAATGGGTAAGATTGTATTATGGAGTTAAACAATGCACACTTTGAGAGACTCTGTATCCAGTAAAACACTAAATGGGATTTGCAAAGTTAGAAAACTGAAAACTGAAAGTGACTTCACATTTGGTTCC